GATGCTATTTATTGTTGTACGCTTATCAACAGTGACATGTCTGGTCCCACCTCCTTTCACAGCTCGTACCTGTTTAAATTCATTGTCTTTCTCGTTGAAATTCATCCAACCTATTTCTATTCTCCTTGATTTTCTCTTTGCATTTTCATTTCCTTTCAATTTATTTAACGTCTCTGCTCTTTTGTTTGCCTTTTCTTCAGAAGCACAAAGTCTTGCCTTTATTCTGTCAATTAGGTGACTTTTTCTGGAGCTTGATGCTGCAGGCTGACTGTTGCGACAGAAGGCAACAGTTGCCAATCTGTCTCCATAACAGGGGATGTACTTTGAAAGGTCTTGCTCAGACATCAGTGGAACTATCGAACAATCAATCTGTAAAATTACAAAACAAACAGTGGGAAGCCCTTGAGCTCAAACCTGACAAACCATGTACTGCTACACAAACAAATTTTACCATAGTATAAAGGACAAGTGAACATAGATATGCTGATTACACTCATACTGCAGTAAGCAATAGGTTAGATGACTGCAGAACAACAGATATGCCAAAAGCTTTAAAAAAGAAACAACAGATCTTGCTACAAATGTTTATGTTTTTGCTTAAACAAAGTAAAATATTCACATAATATACAGTACTAATCAAAAGTTTGGACACATCTTCTCATTCAATGGTTTATCTTTATTTTTATGATTACAATGTAGAAAATAATAATAATAGATTGATATGGAAGACATCAAAACTATGAAGGAATACATATTATTAATTATGTAGTAAACAAAAAAGTGTTAAACACACCAGAATGTGTTTTATACTTTAGATTCTTCAAAGTAGCCACCTTTTGCTTTGATTACAGCTTTGCACACTCTCTGCATTCTCTCAATCAGCTTCGTGAGGTCATCATCTGGAATTATTTTAATTAACAGGTGTTCATTAATTTAATTAACAGGTGTGCCTTGTCCAGAGTTAATTTGTGGAATTGCTTGTCTTCTTAATGAGTTTGAGACCATCGTTTGTGTTGTGTGGAGGTAGGGTTGGTACACAGTTCTATAGTTCTTTACAGAACTGTTCCTTCATAATTTGGATGTCTTCAATATTAATCTGCAATGTAGAAAATCGTAAAAATGGAGAAAAAACATTGAATGAGAAGGTGTGTCCAGATTTTTGACTGGTACTGTATTTAATGACTTGGAAAGCATTTACTCTCAGTTATAAAATGGATAGAGTCGCGTTCGAAGCCATTGTAAAATATGCGATGTACCACTCCTACCGCCTCACAGCAAATGAACTATGTATTATTGCGCCACGGCATGAAAAAACCCTTGTGCCGTCAATGGAATAATCTTTGACTCTTATGCTGCTCGCATGGACCACCGAGTGTACTGATGAAGTAAGAACCCGTTTTTTGTTTAAACTGAGGGGCAGGCGACTTATGCTCTTAAATATAACTAGGCTGGTCAGCTAACCA